CCCACCCCATACATCTTACATCCTCTGTGGGAGCTGTTATATTAATTTTCGGTAAAATCTGATAATGACGTACATACGAACGTATTTCACGTATATCTATGGATCATACCTGATAGCCCATCAATAGGCCCGGGACAACTTTCGTCTGGAAACTTCCCGGTCAAGTAGGTGAGCAGCATGGCCGACTTGCCGACATTGCCATCGCCGAGAATAGCACACTTGATACGCAGATTCGTCAGGTCCGATGATTTGGTCTTTTGCCGACGGGCAGAGCCGTTCCGAAGTTCTGCCATCTCGAAATACTTACACTCACGAGATTGTTTCTACGTACAGATTTTTTTCACTCTCAAAGCATACAGAATGTTTCAACAGCACTTTATATGTTGACGCCACTCCTAATTTCTCTCTTTGTGGTTGAAGGTTGAGCTTTTATGTGCATTTGTTGAGCTTATGTGTGCATTTGATGATGGTGTTGTCGTCCCTTTCGTTGTTGCTGCTGCTGTTCCTGCTGTTTTTGTTGTTGTTTATCTTATTGTTGTTCTTGCTCTTCTTTTTTTTCGTTTTCTACTTTTCTCGCTTCTTATTCTTGTTTACTTTTATTTCTTTCCCCCTTTTCTAGCCCTTTACTCCACACGTTCACGTAACATTTGCAAATTCTGTAAACAAACTGAGTTGCAGCGTTCAGTTTACAAAGTTTAATCGTTTATTTTTTCCTTGTTCACCGTCTTCTGTTAGCACTTCTTCGCCCAAGGCACATGAAGAAACAGGCGTGGGAAATAGAAAACGGACTATGAGACGTAACGCAGCCTAATGGCTTTGCCCTTTTCAGCAGGTAAACAATTAATGAGTCACTTCTGTCATCGATTTAAGATTTCGCAGGGGGGTTTCCTCGCCCTGTTGCTTTACACGTTGTATTGACGAGAGCTGGAAACATCTGAGGAGAGAGGGAGGAAGCAAATTAATTGTGATATTTATAGAGAACAAGCATAGTGTTCTTTTTCACCATGTTGTCAAACCCTTCTAAGGTAAGGAGAGAACTACACGTTTTTCCTTGGAGTATACAATTTTGAGTTCATTGATGGTAAGAGGACTCTGTTTTTCCTTTCCCTTTCTCCTTTCTCCCACTCCTTATCCATCCATCTTTTCTTCTTTCCTTCCTACCTTTCTTTCATTTTTTGTTTCTTTGTTTCTTTTCCCCCCTTCCTTTCTGGAAACTCAGCTTTGCTCTGTTTCGAAAAGAGTATGAAATGACCTCAAAGTATATGACTCCCCCCAAAAAAACAAAACAAAACAACAACACAAAAATAACCAACCAAACCCAATAACAACAAACAAACACAAAAACAACAACAACAGAAACAAAAACTGTAGTCATGCTTGCATCATCAGTGATTTGATCACATGAGTCTGAAACAAGTGCACTAAAAAGCCACCACCACTACCACCAGCACCACCACCAGCACTAACAGAAACTTAAGCAACAACAGTAACGACAGAAGCTACAAAAACGCTAGAAAAGAGAAGCAATACCAAGAAAACAACATCAACAAAAATAACAACAATGAAAACAACAAAAACACCAAATGAAAGCAACAACAACAGCAGGAGCAGCAGCAACAACAACAACAACAACCACAGAACAAACAACAACAGCACCAGCAACAACAACAACAATAACAACAGCATCAACAACATTAACAAAAGCAACTACAGTTGAATAGTGCGCACTGTGACAGCATGGGCACGTAAACAGCAACTGTAATTAAAACATGTCAAAGAACATTACTAGAATAAACAAAACAGCGATATCATTTAACGCTTCCTACACAGGAAACAGCCGTATTGAAAATACACGACAAAATAAATACAAACCACGTCTTCCTCAGTTATCGTAGGATCCTATGAACAATGACTGATGGATCGAAAGATGACAACTGCTGTTAAATATACATAAATCCAGTTCTACTCAATTCCGAACACACCATAGAATCACACAACGCTTCACACTTACAGCTAAACAACTAAGCTCCAGGAAAATCTTTATAGCGTTCCCAAACGATCCGTATTCCCCCTTGTCAAAAGTCGGAATAATCCACACCACACTCTCCGGGGCCCCCCAGCTGCTGTTTACAGGGGGCATACTCGAGCGAGGAAAATCTGAGTCACAATCCGGTTAACCGACTAATTTAGGTACGTCGGGCCGGGTCGAATGAGTTGCGGTGTAAACAAAGAAGTTATGGTGTAAATTGTCGTGTAAACATGTTCATTGGCCTTTATTCAACACATTGCTTTAATTGGGGCGGTTGTGTGTGTGTATGTGTGTGTGTGTGTGTGTGTGTGTGT